GAGGTTTAATTGACTTTTATTAAACCCTAATTAAATAAATATAATCATATATTATTTGAAAATTTACAAATTTAATATTGTAATTAGCCGAGTTCAAAATGACTAATCAACTGTACATTTATTTTTAAATTTAATTATCATACCAATTCCTAAAAATATTTTCAAGGTCCAAATATAAGTATAAGAGATTTCTTTATAAAAAGTAAATAAATAGATATATAGTTTATAATCTTCTATTATATAAAGTTGGTTATAAAATATTAGATAAAATGCCACTTTTATAGACGTATTTTACAGTTATATAATATATTACAGTTAATATTATAATAAATTTTACTAATAAATGGTTTTGATAATAAATATGGTAATAATTTGCACCCAAGTATTTAACGCCATTTATTTAGTTATAAATAATTTTAAAAATTAAACAGATTATTATTCATCCTGCAATAGATGTAATAAATTTGATATCTTTTCTTCTCTTTTTTACGTGTTTTAGGAAAGCTAGTTTTTCTTTTCGAAAAACAGTCTTGAGTTAAATTTTTAATACAAGTATTTTTTTGATATTTTTACAAACTACTATTATTTTAAGATATAATATATCAGTGCGACAATATGTAAAATCTTAATTGTTTCATCATATCATTCTGGTCCTTATTCTATAGTTAGAAAACGTTTCATTTCTAATATGGCATTGCCGTATAAATAACTCCAGGCTTCAATATATTTGCATAATTATTTCTTCCAAAGATTTTTAGTGTTTTTATTTTATCAATTTATCCAACATAATAAATTCTGATATTAGTTTACATTGTGAGTGTCATGGCTATTACTGTAAATTAATCAGCGTCTATTATTTGTGTTGCTATGTAATTTAAGATTATTACTATACGGCTGAGAGCATATAATTGCATATTTTAGATAAATAATAAAATAATGGTCAACTATGTAGTCGTTTATATATCATTTAAAATAGAAGATAATCTTTTAGAAATTTAATATCTCACAATAATTTTCTCGATTGCTTATCTAGCTTCCATCATGTCATCTAAGAGGAAGCTCTAACCACCATATAGTTTTATGATTTGGATTGGTCGTTTATACTCTCTCCTACAAAAATTGTTGATTGGGTTTAAGCCAATAAATTTTTCCTTATTAGTCCATTCTATAAAACATTGTCTAAAATGGTAACAGAGAGCTATATTAGTTTGATAACTTTTTGTCAATGTAAGTTGCTAAGAATTATATTATTGCATTATGTCGTTTTTTTATATGCCAGTTTATTTTGTATGCATAATATAATAAATGACAAAATATGAAAATCAGAATAATTGTTCAGTTAGCAAATTTAAAAAAAAATATAATATAAAACCCGGGAGGGGTATGGGTTTTTTTTATATTTTACACATTACGCGTGGATTAAAAAATAATTGCGCTAGGAATTTTTTTATGAACCTTAATTTTTTACATGTATTCAATATCAAAATACTATTAACTAAACTAAAAACAAAGTTTTAACATTTTTCATAATTTTTTATTCCTCTGTGGAATAAAAAATAACGGCAGTGCCAATTTATTACTATACCCAGTGGTTTTAGAACATCTAAAAGAAGGCTTAAATCAAATTTTTCCTCGTGGAATAAAATATAATGGCAGTGCTAATTTATTACTATGCCCAAAAGTTTGAGAACATCTTTTCAATCAAGCACTTAATTAGGTTTAGTTTTACAATTTTTTTTTCCCTCGTAGTGTAAAATATATTGGCAGTACCAATTTATTACGATACCCAAAGGTTTTAGAACATCTTTATAGTATCAAAAACTTTAAACTATGCTTAATACAAATTTTTAAAAAATTTATATTTTATTCCAGATATCTATACCCAAAGGTTTTAGAACATCTTTTTTTGTATCAAAAACTTAAAAATTTTCATATTTATTTTATCCTCGTGGATTAAAATATAATGGCAGTGCCATTACTAGACCCGAAGGTTTTAGAATATCTTTCTAGTGTCAAATAGGCTTAAAACAAATTTTTAAAAAATGTCAATGCCTTAGGGAGTAAAATATAATAGTTGTGCCAATTTATTACTAGACTCGACTCAAAGGTTTTAGAAACACATTTTTAGTATCAAAAACTTTTATCTAGGCATATAACAAAGTTTAAAAAAATTCCTAAATTTTTTTCCTCTTTGAGTATAAAATAATGGCAGTTCTAATTTATTGCTAGACACAAAGGTTTTAGAATTACTTTCTAGGATCAAAAATTATAAACCTGGATTAAAACAAACTAGTTTAATTTTCTAATTAACCATCAGGCCAACCCCATGAATCACCTAGAGGCCCATTGGGTCGAATATGATTTATGGCTAAATTGGTTCAGGTTTAAGGTTGTTTTTTGGGCTTAAATATGATTGATTTTTAGCCTAGCCAACCCAGCAATTTATCACTAATTTTTAGTATATAAATTTTAATTGTTTAAAATTAGTATAAATAGTATTATTAAAAATGTAAAGAGAGATCGATTGAAAATGTAATTATTATTATTAAAGTTTTTCGTTTTTTAGCAACATGAATAAGTATTTTTAATTGTAATTATAATATAGTTTTACTTGACAGTATTTCATATTTTTACAACCCACAGCAATGGATGAGGATAATATTTGACTATATTTTTCTAAAAAATTATATCCACTCTATTTTAATAATATAGTCCTTGACAGTATTTCATAGTTTTACAACCCATAGCAATGGATGAGGATAATATTTATCTAAAAATTTAGTCTTTCTTGACATTTCATAGTTTTACAACCCATAGCAATGGATGAGTATTTGACTATATTTTTATAAAAAATTATATTCACTCTTTTTAACACCTACAAAATTAAAGTTTTTAAAATGATGGGAATTTTATTATTGCTTTAGCATCATGGCCATACCTTATTTAATATAATTCCAAATATATTTTAGCAGTATATAAATTCCTGCTGTTAAACAATTGTTAAGAAGTGTTTGTTTTCTTAATTATAATAATATAGTTACTAATGCTGACAACAATTTACTTTTTGAAGAATAAATACTTTGAGTTTGGCTAAATTTAATGTATCAGCCAATATAAAATCAGTGCATATCTGAATTAATAATTATTAGTTGTAAAGTAAATTCTGGCACTTAAAATTTGACATATAAAATCAAGGTCTGCAAATGGTAAAATTCTCATGCCCCGCCCAATGAAAATTTGGTTTGCCAGGCCCTAAAATTTTTGCATGACTGCCCTGTTTAAATTTTTTACCAAGGTTAAGTCCAGGTCCATTTTTAATTTTTTTAAATATAAGGCTTAAACCAAAATATATATTGAACACAAAAATAGAAACTATTTATAATCTTGGGAGTGGTTAAATTAAAAACACTATACTTTATGGATTATATCTTCCATGAAATAATATTCATAAAATATATATCGTGGGTCTAGAATTGGTGCTCTCTTCATTTTCAAAATTTTTGAGTTAAAAGTGGATAATATATTTATTTACAATATATATAAAAATAAAAACTAGGTTAAAAATTCTGTAAAAATTGATCAATAAGCTTTTCCTATATTTGGTTTAATGTTGATTTTCTTATTTTAAACATTTGTGCAAGTGCAGCGCTCCAATTCTAGGCCAATATATATAAATGTTGCTAAATTTTGCCCAGCCTAGAAATATTTTTGTCCAAATACATGGATTCAAATTTATTAATGTACAAATATCCTTCTTGAATGATGTTAAGTCGGATTTTAGTGCATATAAAAATTTGACCAAAATATAAAGGATATTTTAAGCAAAACTATTAGGCACCCATACCTCTTTTTGTTGATACGAGAGATCTGTGATGCCCAGTACATAGTCCATGCTAGATGTTTGAATTTTTTACAGACATGATCTAATCTATAAAGTAATATTGTTTTGAATTTAACAACTCCACAAGATAATAAATAGTTATTTATTTTGCTGATCAACAACGTATTTTTGGTTTAAAAACCTGGCCAGGCAACCTTAATAAAAAATTGAAACTTGGCCAGACCAGGCATTAACTAAATTCCCACTAGGGTTTGAAAATTTTGCCATTTGCAGACCTGATATCAATACCACCAACATAGTATTAGCCAATACCCAAAAATATTTTATTAATGGGGAAAAGTCAGATATAATTTGATCATTTATAAAATGAAAAGCATCTTCTTAATTTCTCATCAGTTTGTAAATTTCAAGATTTATTTATTTTATATTTTCACAGCTTAATGATGCTTTTAAATTAAGGCACTTTTTGTTTTACATTTCAAATGGTATCATATGATGTGAATTGGAACATTTTTTTTCCATTTTATAATGCAAAAAAATATATATCATTAAAAATGTTAACTATTTGTATTCCAAAAAAGGAGTCAGTTATGTTCTAATATTTTAAGCTTAACAGATAAAAAAAATTCTCTAGTTTTATTAATAGAATGTCTGATTTTGAAGCCTAGGGGGTTTTAAAAATTTAAACAAAAAGTAGCTGTTTTTGGATTGGGGTAAATATGATATTGTTGAGATCATTTTTGATTCTGCTTTAGTCAATAAATTTATTTTGGTGTCAAAAAGAAATAATGATACTCAAGTAAAATTGTAGTCTTCTGTCAGGTCTAGCTCAAGATGGTTAGGCATTTGTTTAATAAATCATTCACAAAACAGTCAATTTGAGGAAGTATAATGTAGTCCCAAAGTTTTATTTATGAGGGATTATCATTTTTGGGTGGCAACTGGTATTGGTTGCATCAAATAGCCAATAACAACACTGATTAATAGCATGAATATCAGCCCAATACTGACAAGTATTGTTATAAATGTATCTATAATATTTGAAGGAATCTTATAAATAATAAATATATTTGGAGCAAAACTTTAAATGCAATTATTATTTATATAATATATACATAAATGTAATGATGGCAATATTTTAATCTTCTATCAAAACATATTCTTACTAAATCTTTATTAACATTCATATATTGATTCCAAAATGATTCAAAATATATTTATTCTAATTTTGTTTTTGTGCCTTTCGCATTTGTTGCAAAAGGGATTGTAATTCTTCTCGTTTCCTTTTAGCTCTTATATGAGGTCCTAGCTAAATTAAAATTGCAATAAAATATATAAAAAAATTTACTCTTCTTTTCAAAAACTTTAATGCCTTTTTATCTCTTGAAATTTTCAAAAACTCAATAGTTCTCTTTTCATATGGGGCCATCCCACATACCTCTCTAGTAATATCTTTGATAAACTTTTTCCGCTTTTGAACCATCTAAAATGGATTATTTTTTTAAAAAAAAATAAGATTTTACCCCTTTCCTTCTTGATGGCCTTGGTTTTTGGACATTCTTGGTCAATTTATAACCTTTATTCAAGCCGATAGCCATATCATACTTAATAGCCATTCTTAAAATCGAAACGTGATATTGAATAAAAATTTATACTAGTTGATACTCGGTTTATAAATAAAATTTAAAAAATTAAATAAATAGTAGTTTAAATGATAAATTACTTCTAATATTTATTTATATTCGAATGCAAAAGTATGCATCTAATTTTTAAAGACAACATTATAAAAATATTAGTGAATAATAATATTCATATATAAAAAATATAATTCAAATCATCAGAAAAATAGTCGAATTATATCGCGAAATATCTTAAAAAAAGATTTGTACCAAAAATTATATTGCTTCAGCTCTAATTCATTAACAATATTCTGGGAGAATAAGTTTATTTGTTAAATAATTCCAATTGTAAGTATACCGAATTTTGGATAAAACGATGTCAGTGTCACAGGGCCGTAGCCAAGAGGGGGGAGGCGGGGGGGGGACCCGGTACCCCCAAAGAATTTTTGGCCCCCAAACCTGGCCCCTAGAAAAATCTTTGGCCTTAAAAAAATGGCCCCCAAAAATTTTTCTGGTCCCCCCCCCCCCCAAATTTGAAATTTTTTTTTAGAATTGATTATTTTTATATTTTTATTATAAATTTTGAATGTTTATTCAAAAATATTCAAAAAACATGTCTATTTAGAATTGATTATTTTTATATTTTTAAAATAAATTGAATATTTATTCTACAAACATGTTTAGTTTGTAAATTTTTTTCTATCCAGTTTAATTTTTATTTTTACCCAATATTAAATTATCATTCTTTCATTTTTTTTCATTTGTTTTTGTTGTGTATAACATTCTCTATAGGTATCACATTTATATTATAATATATAACCAGTTATTTTATTTTACAGCGTTTATTTTAAAATTATGAAGAAACAATCAGTTATTAACTCTTATTTTAAGTTAAAGTTAAACAAATGTCAAGCAACATCACCTCTACAAACTACTAGTAATACTACATCAGAAATTTCAGAAACTGATTCTTCTTATAGTTAGTATAAATTTATATTATTATTTCATGACTTATATGATATTGATATAGGGCAATACCTATATATTATTATTTCATATATATTTATTTTATATAAGATAAAAGGCAGACATTTATTATTGATATTAACATTTTTGTATAATAATTTTAATTATTAAAATAAATATATTCACTCATATTTCAAGATATGAATGAAGCTAATAATCTAGAAAATGATCCTCACTACACTCAGGAGGAGGAAGATGGTAAATAGTTTAAAATTTAACCCAAATTTTTCTATTTATATATTTTTGACAATATCAATAGGTGTAGGAGATTATGGTGTTTCATTATTACATTTTGATTTTAAAACAAATAAAGACGAAGAAGAGACTCAATCATCTTCATCTAGCAGCTCAGTCTCTCATTCTCGAGAGACAACTAGTAATTGATTTATAAATATAAAAATATTATATTTTTTTGTTAATCTTTAAAGATATAATGTTTATGACCTTTTTCTAGTTTTTAATACTGAATATCTATAATTTTACTGATCAACTTTACTGATAATCTTAATCAGGGTTGGGCACTACAGTATAGCAAATACTTGTATCTTAAATACAAGATAAATTTTGTGTTTGTTCATTTTCAGCATGCCCTTCCTTTGCCCATCCTGATGACCATTATTATTTATGACCCTTTCCCACATTACAATTTATTAATTATAATATTTTTAGTGTCAAAAAAATCCTCTAATGGTTGAATTCAAATCCCAGGTGACATTGGCCAGAATAAACCAAATCAAATCAAATTAAACAATTACGCGAAAAAAGATATCCATGGAAGGCAAAGATCATTTCAAAAATCATAGTATAGAGGCCGAGACTGGTTGGAGTATAGTGTAGAAGCTGATGCTGCCTTTTGTTTTCCATGTAGGAAAAACTTGTATAATCCAAGTGATGAATTTGGACAAACGGGATTCAGAAATTAGAAAAATGCGTTAGGGGCCAAGAATGGACTGCTAAAACACGAGAGCTCAAAAGCTCATTTAAATTCAATTACAATATGGCATGATAAAAATCAAAATATAAACAAAGGTACAGAAATAACTAAAATGTTGGGAGGTGATCAAATTAATCGTAATCAATATTATATTAAATCAATATTTGATTTGATGCTATTTCTTAGCATACAAGAGCTACCTTTCCGTGGGACTGGTTCAACAAATATTACGGATGCTGCAAAAGATGAAAACATAATTTATTCTTCTGGGCTATTTATAGCAATGTTTTCCTACACCATCCAAAAAGACCCTGAATTAAATAAAATCATGAAATTTATACCCCAAAATGCCCAGTATACATCACCACAGATTCAAAACGAAGTAATATCCATTATGGCAGATATGGTGCTTGAACATATTTCAGACAAATATAATAAAAGCGAGATGCCTTTTTTTGTCTTAAGGCTGATGAGACAAAAGAGGCTTCAGGTTGTGAAAACCTGAGCATAATAATTCGGTATATTTTTTTTGGAGAAATCCAAGAAAATTTAATAGGAATCATTAATTTAGAGTGTCTTTCTGCTGAAAGCATTACAGATTGCATTTTAAAGCAACTTAATGATCTAAATATTAATTCAACTAATATAATAAGCCAGGCATATGATGGTGCAAACGTTATGTCTGGCCGAAATGGAGGAGTGCAAACACTTCTTAAAAAATAAATTAATAAAAATGTTCCTTTTATACATTGCTACAACCACAAGTTGCATCTTGTGGTTCAAAATTGGTATAATAATATTGTTATTATTTCTAATTTTTTTAATTTATCAAATGCAGTGTATAATTTTTTCAGGCGTTTTAACGTATCCTGTAAATATAAAGGCCACACCCTTAAGAGACTTTTAGACCAGAGGTGGACTGATCATTTGGAAACATCTCGCATTATTTATGAGAATTTTGAGGCTATTGGTGAAGTATTATTTTACTTTTCTAATAGAACTCTTAATTCAGAGGTTTCAATTCATGATTCAGTCGAAGCCTCTGGTCTTTTATCTATCTCAATGTATTAATATAAATTACATTATATTAGCCATCATAATTTATGAGATATTAATTACAATAGATCCACTAAATAAGTATCTACAATCAGTAGGTACTAATCTAGTGGATGCTAAAAATTGTATTGATTCTACTATCAATATATTAAAAAAATAAAAGAAGTGATAATTCTTTTGCTTTGATTATGATTAAGGCTGAAAAACTTTTATCAAAATTTAATCTTACTCCCCAAAAATCATCACGGGTACGTAAAACGCCTAAAAATTTCCAAGATTTTTTAGTTGATAGCAAACTAGAATTCGATTGTGAAAAAGACTCCAATTGGAGTCTTTAAAAAAAGATATATTATGTAATTATAGATAACTTTGTGGATCGTTTTTTAGACCGATTTACAGAAGATGATTTTAATCTTTTTTCATCTTTTAATACATTGTCCCCCCTTGACCCTGATTATTTTTTATCAGATAAAATGGCCCCATTAAAATCCCTGTTAAACTTAAATATGGAAACACTGCATCATGAAATGAAGATAGCAAAAGGATTGCTAGCTTCGGAAGCTAAAGAAAATCATAATTTTGAAAATATCTTACATATTATGTATAAAAAAAATATAATCATGCATTTAAATTATATAAATTATATAAATGCTACTCAGCAGCGATAATCATTGGGATATCAACGGCTTCTTGTGAGGCCTCGTTCTCTACATTAAAGAGAGTTTTATCGAGCAGTTGAGAGTCTATGAAGGATAAACGTAAACAAAATTTAGTATTAATGGCGTATGAAAAAAGATTAATGCAGAATTCATCTTTTAGTTCATTTATATTAAAATTTAAAAATAAAAATCGCCGTATTCTATTATAGTAATATTTAGTTTTGTATATGCATATGTATTATTTTGTTTTGTATATTCATATTATAGTATTATTTTGTCATTAAATTTTTAATAAAAATAGGAAAAAATTTATATGAATATGTAATTATTTGTTTGATTTTAAAAAAATAGTGCCCCCCCCCAAGTAAGCACTTGGCCCCCCTAAGTGAAAATTCCTGGCTACAGCCCTGCAGTGCCACATAATAGGTCATTAGGGGGTGGGTGAGTCTCTTAAAATTTAATTTTTTATACCTAAATAAAGAAGTCGTTTTGAAAATATTAGCTTAGAAAAAGGTCATTTTGAAAATAATAATAAATTTTTTGCCGTGACACTACTGCCATCCAATTTTCGAGAGAGTAATGAGGGACGAGAGTCTTTTTTTTTCATATTATATTTGTATTATTTTAGGCTCACTTTTTAAATTGGCTAGATATTTACAAAAATATATAATCCCTTAATTATATAGCGATAACAATGTAAAAAAAAAATTGGAAGTAATACTAAAAAAAATTGATCATAAATTTTACATAGTTTTTATTTTACTATATTATTATATTTTTTTATATGGTTTCCAATTATCACCATGAGGTCCTGTCATCACTAAGTCATATATTGCTATATGATGTAATCCCTATGTCCTGCCATCAAGTGTTGTTAAAAAGCCCGATTTGAACCGATTTTTAAAAACGGTCGGTTTAAATTTTGGCCTAAATAATATTATATAAGTTTCGAGATTTGGCTTTAAATCTTTCTACTATCTACAGCGCCTACATGGGGGGGGGGAGGGTAGGATACATCTAAATTTTTTTTTTTTGGGGGGGGGGGTTATGCATCAATTGAAGGGTAGGATATAATTATTTAAAGTGTTATCTAATATATTTTAAATAATTCATGGAGAATATATTGATATAATAATTTATAATTTAGTGATGGACCTATTAATTATAGATCAATATTATTAGGAGAGTAGTTATAGGTTTTTGAAGGGGGTCTGCATCCAGTCAATATCATATCATGTAAACGCTGACCATCTATTAGTAAAACCTCCAGACTTATATAATATTATCTTGGTTAAAATCTTAAATGGCCCGTAAAGTAAACTTTATTGTGCAATTATTTATTTCACATAACGAAAAATATGTTATGTCAATCATAAAAA